AGAGTAGAATATTAATAAGTTTTAAAGATTAAATAAATATTTTTAATATATATAAGACTTTTTCTAAATATTTTTATTCTAAATTATATTATAAAAATATATTTTTTAAAATATAAATAAATAATTTCTTTATTTTTTTAATTTTAATTATCTATTTCTGCTATAATAGATATATTAGTAAAAATAATTAAAAAAATATTTAAAAATATATAAATATTTATTTTATAAGAAATTCTTCAGAAAATCAGATTTATATATTTTTAATATTATATTAAAAAAAGAATTAATAATTTTAATAATAAAAAATATTTATTTTATAATTCTATAATATAGATAGTCTAAGAGATTATAATTTAAGTTTTTTTTTATTATAATTACTTATAATTAAGAAAAATAATAGTTATAAGATAATAGAATTTTTAATTTTTTTTAATATAAAAATTTAATTCTAGTCTTTACTATTTATTAAATTAATAATTTTATTAAATATCTTAGAATTATAACTCAGAAACTTATTAATCTTATTAAATTAAATTTATTTAAAGTTAGTTTTTTTAATATTAAAAAAAAATATTTTACTATACTTATCATATTAAATTTTATAATAATTATTTTATTTATAATTATAAAAAAAATATTTTACTCTATATATTATTTAATAATATTTCTAGAATTTATTCTAAAAATTTTGTATAATATAGAATATTTATAATATAATTAATCTATTTAATATTAATATTAAGAATTTAATTAAATTATTATTATAATATTATTATCTTAATCAGAGTATTCTTTTTATTAGGATTTTTTATATATTATATAATTATTATTTTATATAAATTAATACTGTCTATATCTGAATTTTAAATCTTATTCTAATTTATATAAAGAGCAGTATATATTTTTTAAATAAGATTTTTAGAATTAAAAAAATCTATTATTTAATAATAGTTTTAAGATTATTAATATAAATAAAAAATTAATTTTAAATAGTTTTCTTTTTATCTTAATTTTTAAAAATTTTTATTATAAATTTAAAATATCTATTCTTGTTTTCTTAGTTATTTTTTTATTTTATTAATAAAATAATATATTTAAAGCTCTCTTATAATATTATTTAATATTTAAATAAAAATAATCTATATTATCTAGTTATATTAAAATAATTATATTAAAAATCTTTTTTTATTATTTAATATATAGCTATATATATTTAATCTGCTGGCTTTTATTAATATTATTAGAGTTTTTAATATAATATTAATTTAAATAAAAAATTAAGAACAGAGTATATTACTTTTTTTAATTTATTTTATAATATAAATAAATAATTTTTTTTAATTCTTTTTTTTAAAAATTATTATTATCTATATTTTTTAATTTAATTTTTTAATATTAGATATTATTAACCTCTGCAGCTTAATAATATAATTATAATTAATTTCTTAATTATAATTATTAGATTAGTTAGAATTTAGATATTAAATATTTATAATTATTATATCTAAATAAATACTATCTAGATTTTTTTAAATATTATTATTTAAAATTATAATCAGCTTTATAATATTCTCTTTAATAATTATTATTATAATTTTAATTTTTTTTTTATAATATTTTTATAAAGAAGTAGATATAATCTATTTAAAATTAAAAAACTAAATCTAATTAAAATTAAAAAATTAGATTCTTTTATCTAGTGCAGTAGAATATTTTTAATAAATTTAATAAAAAAAAAAAAGCTTAATTAATATAATATAAAAAGATAAAAGAGACTTAATTTATATAATATAAAAAATAAAAAATTTAATTAATATAATATAAAAAAACAGAGAAAATATTAAAAATAAAGAATATTAAATAATTAAAAAAGAATTTTAAATAAATAAAAGTTATAAAACAGATTATTTATACTTAGTTTAAATCTAATTTTAAATAGATTTTAAAAACTTATTATAATTTATAGTAAATTTATAACAGATCTTTGTAATAAATATATATATATATTATAAGTTAAGTATTAATTATTTAATATATAATATAATATCTAACTAAAACTCTATTATCTATAATTTTAAATAATTTTTTTATAATAATATAATAAAAATATATTTATTATCTTAAATATATAATTATATTTATATTTATATATTATAATAAAATAATATTAATAAAATATAAAAAAGAATTTATTATTTTATTTATATTAAATTATTTATATAAAAATCTTAGCAAGCTGTTAAGCTGTAGTTTAATCTGATTTAATTAAAATTAAAAAATTTTTTATTAAATTATATCTTAATATAAATCTATTAAATAAATTATATTTTAGCTATAAAACTCACAGACAGGCAGGGCCTGATCTTAATAAGTCCTGGGCTCGGCCGAGCCGGCTCGCTGACTCCTCCCAACCTGCTCGGGCTCGGTATTTTGACAAGCCTAAAAGAGCTATTAAGATTACAGAGAATTTAGTAAATTATTAATAAATAAAATATATATTTATTTAATATTATATTATTTATAATAATATTATAAATAAAGAGATTTAAATTATCTATTTATTTATAAAAAATATAATAATAAATAAATTAATTAAAGTAATTATATAGATTAGTTAGATATATTTTATTAAAAATTTAAGACTTAATTAAATAAGTAGAAAAATTAGCTTTAATATATTAATATATTTAATTTTTTTTAGATATTTAATATATCTTTAATTTATACTTATTTTAATTATTTTAAGTTAAAAAATTAATTATATTTTAAATAAAGAAAAATAATATAATATAATTAAATTTATAAATAAAAGATTATTTTATCTCTAATTTATTAAAAATAAAATATAATTATTCTATCTCTGATTAAGTAAGTATATAAACTAATAAATTTTTATAAAAAATTTATTAATAATTACTAAATAAAAATTATTAAGCACTTAGAATATTAATATTATAATATTAAGAAGTACTTATTCTATCTATTACTAGTCTTCTATATCTGCACCTTAGACTTTGTACAAGTGAAGCATCCGGAAGCCCCTACACCCCTGAGGATCCACTTCACTTTTCTACTGATTACTAATTATTTAATAATTTATATACTAGATCTAATTCTTTAAAGAATAAATACTAGTTATTATACTTTATTTATATATCTTACAAGTTACAGGTAATTAATCACAGAGATTTATTCTGATTAGGCCTTAGCGGGCTACTAAGAAATTGATGCTAATCTAATATATTAATTGTAAATGTAAATAACCGTTGCAGAAGGTCTCTAGTGGCTTATTCTGCACGTGTTTTTATTAGGCGAGATATCCTTACCGCGTGCCTGCCTAGGCACTACACCGGCCACCCACTTTCCCTTTTACCGCCTACTGCGTCAAACACTAGGACACCGAAAACTTTAAGAAGTATAACTATGTTAAGAATTGTATCATGTGACGAGATTTACTGCGCGTGCATACGGAGGGAGAGTACTAGTACTTTACTAGTACTCGGAGCTGAAGAACTCCAACTCGTCGCCTGCGGTGCTTAGCCGACCCACACTCGCGATGTGTGTGGGCGGGTCGGCCACAGGTCCACGAATCACCTTCCGTCCATGAACTAGTACCTTTTATATGGCGATCAATACCCGCGAGGGTGTAGGCCGGTCAAGCAGCAGCGCAGACGACGAGTAGGGAGTACTCCGTACCTAAACTGATTTGCTTGAGAAGTGATGTACATGAAGGCGGTATGTCGATTAGTCAGGAAGGCAAAGGTTGTGTTAGGGCAAGCCTGGGGTAGCTGTAGCAGCTCCCTACATATGTATTGGCATCATTGTATAATAAACTACAAACCTCTTAACTGAAAAGATGAAGTGAATACAGTAAGTACACAGTGCGTAACTAGAACCATCTACTCCATACCCTCGTCGGCTAAAGTGCCCTGGCAGAGCAGGCAACGAGTAGGGTGTCGCTGGGTGCCGCTGTAGCGACATCCTCCGCCCTCGTAGTTAGGAAGGCTTTCCTTTCCGGCAAAAATCAATACCAGGTGAGCAGCTCTAGACATTTTTCCTAGTATAAACTTTAAGGTGTCATGCCACTCAATTCATCAGGCATTGCGGCATAGCTTAAGTAAAGGTAGAACATGAGCAAAGGCTGGTATGGGGCCAGGCCAGCATGGTTGTAGCGGCTCCCAATAGTACAGAGTAGCGGCTACCAGCTATAATACTTTAGTTATGAAGAGTAACTACGCAGTAACAATGACTAGTTATAGACAGTGTATTTGTAAGATTTATAGGCTGTGATGTAAGTTCAAGTTCCAAGATTTAAGCTATTATCAAAAACACTTTGTATACCCGGTGCCCATAAGTATATAAAACGATTCATTTATATATAATTTTTACAAATAAGCATATTATACGGCATTGCTGACCCAGGCGGATGGGCAAGCGACTAGGAGTTAATGTCTTAATAGTTGGCTTCTCCATCCACCAGTATCAACTGCGCCTGGAACTAGTAATTGAGGTATAAGGTTGGTGGATTTATTTACTAGTGCTCTACTTTCTGAAGCCATGTTTGGAGAGGCGACCGTAAAAGCAGGAACAAAAATATTACTATGGTAAGAACACAATGGCCTTCGGACCATTTGATCAAGAACACTTCATCGGCCTCTCTCTTCTCTATCTTTTTTTCCTCCACCCCTCCCCCTCTCTCTCTCCCTCTCTCATTTCTTTATTTTACTTTAGAAGTAGCAGGTGCGCTCATTGGGCGATTTACTGCAATTCTATCAAAATTGTTACGCTCCCACCCCCCTTCCCATTCACCACACCATGTTCCTGCTATGAGTCGCCTGCTTTTCCTGTCGCGTTGGTAGGGGTTCGCTAGTACGGGGAAATTAAGACTGTTTATGCCTAATACTCCATACCACGTTTATCCTCTCCTCTCCCAAGTTTCTTTCTTGGACCTCATTTCCCCAGCCCTTCCTCTCTCTCTCCTTACCTTTATTCAGCCATCATAGCTTCCCGCCCGAGCATTCTCATTCTTACCCGCCCTGTCCGCTCCCCTCGTTACCGCCCTGGGTTCAGGATAATTACCTGGCAATATATTTTCGCACCAAGTGATAGACGACTGTCAAGGATGCTGGCCAGTGGTTGCAACTGTTGTGGTTTTGGCTTCTAGCCGCCTCTCAATATGTCGCGCTCATCGGCAGGCTTTGCAGACTTCTTTCCAACAGCACCGTCAGTTCTCCAGCAGAGGCGCAAAACGAACCGGGAACTGCCTCGTGCTACAGCCCATAGTGAACGAGAGCATGGTGATGAAGGCACTATACCTTCATCGGAGTCCACGGCAATCCATGATTCGACGATTGTCGGTCCATGCGCGAAATTGACGCCAAGGCTTTGTGAAGAGGAACAGAAGGCATCGTCTGATGTCAAAGGTGATGGATCCATGATCTCTACCAGCATGAGTGCTACTGCTCTCCGCTCATCTGCCTGTCATCCAAACGCGGCATATGGCAGTGAAACACGGCTTGATACGCTTACACCACTCACTAATGCAGAGTCCTCCCCCCCTCAAAGGCCTAGTCCATTCCGCACCAAGATGACAGACGGGATGGAAGACAGCTCGATCATCTCCAAGAGCGAAGAGTTAAAGCCTGTTACACCTGCTTTACAAACCCCACAGACCCCGCGATCACAGAGTCGTATGGCTAAAAGTATCAAGGGCTGGAGATTGGTTTACGACCCTGATACCGAGAAAAGAACCTCCAAAGAAAAGCGAAGAAAAGCGCGCTACGTGGAAATTGTGACAAGTGGAGAAGATGATCGACCGTCTGACCCCCGTACAAAGATCTCGAACTATTCCCGTGGCGCCGGTTGCAAGCAGAAGACAAAATATCGGCCAGCTCCCTACTCATTGAAACACTGGGCGTACGATGCTTCTACGACAATTGGGCCTGGACCTCCAGTACAGATCGTGCTTACTGGCTTCGATCCCTTGACACCAATTGCTCCAATTAACGCATTGTTCTCGAGCTTTGGGGACATCGCCGAAATAAATAACCGCACAGATCCCATAACGGGCAGGTTTCTCGGAGTATGCTCTGTTAAGTACAAGGATAGTGCATCATTCAGAGGAGGGGGGCCTGTTCTAGCGCCGAACGCGGCCAGGAGAGCCTACTATGAATGCAAGAAAGAGCAGCGCATTGGAACGCGCAGGGTCAGGGTTGAATTAGACCGTGATGGTGCCGTCTCAGAAAAAATAGTCACAAGGGCAATTGACTCGCAGAGAATGGGATACAAGCACAACCTCCTAACTACAGAAGAACCCAAAGCGGATCACCAGGCAAAGAACAATGAACCCCCTCCAACAGCGCCCAGAGGTCCTTCAGGGCGATCCTCGTTGCGTCCGTCTATCACGATACCTGAAGGGCCTAGGGCAAGTTTCCTGAAACCCGTGGTGCCGTCGTTGGTTGAAGAGATTCCCATATTGTGCCAGATCAAGCGTGACCCGTATATCTTCATCGCCCACTGCTATGTACCAGTTCTGAGTACCACCGTTCCACACCTAAAAAAGAGGCTGAAACTATTTGATTGGAAAGATATCCGTTGCGATAAAACGGGGTATTTCATCGTTTTTGAAAATTCGAGGCGCGGTGAAGAGGAAACTGAACGTTGCTACAAGATGTGTCACATGAAACCTCTATTCACATATATCATGAATATGGAGAGCCAGCCCTATGGGAATCCCAATTATGAGCGCTCTCCGAGCCCTCAGCGACTACAGGCTGAACAGCGAGAGCGAACTGAAAGGGAACGGTTGAAAAAAGAAGCAGAATTGGATGTTGAGGAGGAGAAAAGGCAGCGTGCACTTGATCTTGACCCCTGCAAGGAGGTGGTAGCAATAATCATCCGCGACTTGAGAGATAAGCTCTTGGAGGATGTGAAGTCTCGCATTGCTGCACCGGCCTTGTACGACTATCTCGATCCCGATCGCCATGCGGCGAAAAGGAAAATACTAGGTATCCCGGATCCCGAGGGAGCGAAACGACCTATGTTCCGGATTGATGTCGATAGCACAGCTGGCACACCGGATTCTCGCTCCGACCTGTCAAACAACCGGCATCCTTTGGTTTCTTCTAGCCTGAATATACTTGCACTCCCACGAATCAGGAAGTCTCGTCGACTTGATCGCACAGATGCTGTTTTCTTGGACGAGAGGCGAAAGCAGCCCCTGCGACGAAAAGAGGTTAGGCCTCTTTACCACCGACTCCAACAACTACATGATGTGGATGATTCGGACGAAGAGCAGAGGACACCTTTTGCTCGAGACACTGAGGAATTAGACAGTCGTGCACCAAGTCGAATGAGCTCAGAGACCTCGGACTCTGAAGATGGCACTGATGAATTTGTCTCTGATATGCTGGACGTGTCTGTCAGGGACGGTCAATCAGGGGACACCCGATCTCATGATCTAGTTCCACTGGGCGACCACATTATTTCTCGCACTTCGCCCAGCGAAGACCTGCAGCAAGTTAACAGGGAACTGACCCCTGAGTTACGCAAGAGGAAACGAGATGATGAGAAAGTCAAAGCACGGAAGAGACAGAAAGAAGATGATGCGCTGTTTGGCGTGGAAGATGTAGAAGTATCGCAAGGAAATCAGGTCGGAATACACTCGCCGTCTCGTCTTCAAGACATTCGTGGTCATATTGCACCGGTGGATGACCTTTCCTTGACCGACAAAGATATTTTAGTCTCGCAATACGGCAATTTGTCAGACAACCAAGAACATGAAGCAGCTCTTATACGCTCGCGGAGTCCTAAAGTGGAAATTGAAGACATCGGGAATGACCGGTTCGGTCTGCTATCCTCAGATAAAGGTATCGACAGTAACAAGCAGCGAGAAGATGCGAGAACAGAAATCGAGTGGCGAGTATCAAATGACGAGCCTCGTTCCACGGTGGAGGATGATGAGGCAATTGTGCTAGATCTTGATGGCTGGCAAAATCTAATCAAGGACGAAGAGGATCTGCGCTTCCTTCGCGACGTGCTGGAGGGAGTGGCGAGATCTAACGTTGGGAACCTCCCAGCTTGGGCGTGGAGACAAAAAGAAATCAAAGCACTTAATCGCCCTGGAGAGACTGGACCAGTACGAGAAGAGACTACCATTGACGGTTACTATGTCTTGAATACAACGGGCGCCGCTAGGACTGAAGGAAGGAAAAGGATTCTCGAGTCAGAGAAATCAAAATACTTGCCGCACCGGATCAAGGTCCAGAGGGCTCGTGAAGAGCGAGAGGCTAAAGCAAAAAGTGACCCGCACACTGTTGCTGCTGAGGCTGCGAGGATTGCTGCTGCGAAAACAATATCCAAGTCCTCTTCCAGGTCGACAAGGGTCAACAATCGGCGTCTCATTGCCGATATCAACGCTCAAAAACAAGCTCTACCTACTCCGAGTGGCGATGGAGATGTTCTCCGGTTCAACCAGTTGAAGAAGCGAAAGAAGCCAGTTCGCTTTGCTCGCTCGGCTATCCATAATTGGGGTCTTTATGCAGAGGAGAATATATCCGCGAATGATATGATCATTGAATACGTGGGCGAAAAGGTCAGGCAGCAAGTTGCAGACATGAGAGAAAGACAGTACTTGAAGAGCGGAATCGGCAGCAGTTACCTTTTCCGTATCGACGAGAACACTGTTATCGACGCCACAAAGCGAGGTGGGATTGCGCGGTTTATCAACCATAGCTGTACCCCAAATTGCACTGCCAAGATAATCAAAGTCGACGGTAGTAAGAGGATCGTTATATATGCTTTACGAGACATTGAACGAGGCAAGCCAACCCGATATATACATTTCTGGGGGAAATTACAGTGTGCTAACAAGTCAATGAACAGACGAGGAGCTGACCTATGACTATAAGTTTGAAAGAGAGTGGGATAGTGATGATAGGATTCCTTGCCTTTGCGGCTCGACCGGATGCAAAGGGTTTCTCAACTGAGACTCCTATACTAAGGCACGATAAACGCATATCACAGAGCTTTGGTCTTTCAAAACTCTTATATCCATCCCATCTTCTAATCTATTGTGGTGTTGGTCTGCAAATTTGCCTCATTCATAAGGGAATGTGTGCAATGGCTTTTGTTCGGAAGATGTAATGACCTGCAAGCGGCCGGCAGACACGTACTTTTTCCAACGATGTAACCCCCAATAGCAACAAATATCCGAACCAATAGATCGAAATCGAATATTTATCTCCCAATACGGAGGCGGATGGTGATGGCATCAGCGCTGACCGCCAATTTGTCGCATAATTTGCAGGCAGTCTTGACACTGAAGGAGAGGAGGCGGGGGGGGGGGGGGCGAAGGGGCGCCTGCTTTTACCCACAAAAAGCGTTTGAAATCAAACAGGGCCGATTTAAAACACACCATTCGTGTCAATTCAAACTAAGTGCGAGAGGCTTGGTCAGCAACAGTCCAGGAGATTTTTTGATGGGGGTCGTCGGACCCAAATGGCTAGGAAGGAGAAAATTCGCAATTCCTTCCTTGATAGTGTACTCGTGGCCGCAGTTGCCACAACACAACTTTCCTTCCACAACTTGTGTTTCTAAGAGTACCCTATGAAGATCTCTTAAAATTTGCTCATCCTTGAGAGCATCACCTTCCGGCTTGGTATCGGGGATTGTAGGGAAGCCGAGCTAGGTCAGGTCAGCGAAAATAATACTTGCAGTATATTGTCGGTATCGGATCGAAGAAATTCACCTCGTTCGCCATCACTCGCAATCCATCCCAGTCAATCCGAGGGATAATATTGAGTATGAAGTTGGGCTGAAACTCAAGCTCTTGCAATTCTAGTTCAGCATCTTGAAAATGTAGTGGATATGACGCAGGCGCTGTCTTGCAACCCTTCACCGCACAAGCTAGAAAGTTGACTGTAATTAGTTTCATCCTGGTCGATTTGACTCTTTTGAGTGCTTGGAGCTAGGAAGATAATAAGACCAATTTATGCCTTATAGAAGAGTGTAGTATAAAGAAAATAGAATTACTTGTTACCTGCCCTACTAGCGCTGCTTGGCTGACCCACCGGTGCCTTTGGGGTTGGTTAGTCACAGGTCCAGAAACCATCTTATCTTCTTGTGGTATTTCATCTTTTGTGATATATAGCCCTGTACATAGCACGGCAGATAGACTGCTAAGGAGCACGGTTACTAGCAGGAATAATAAATGGTTTTAGAGCTTTATATTATTTTATTATAAGCCCTAATATAAGATTATAATATAAAGAAATAATTAGTATCTTTAATTGTAATATTTAGATCTTTTATTTCTTTTTATTATATTTTTATTTATAAAAATTATATTTAAAAATATATTTCTAGAGCTAGAATACTAAGACAAAGTATTATTACTATAAATAATCTTAAAAATTATTATAAATCAGCTCTTTCTTAAAGAATATATAATAAAAATATATAAGAAAATAAGAGAATCTTAATGAATTTTGTGAGATTTCTACAAAAACATTTTTATAATTTAATACTATAAAAAGAGGGTTTAAAAAAATATAAATATAACATAAAATAATCTAAAGCTAATACTTACTTATTTTAAAAAATAATTCATTAATAATAATTAATAATATTTAAAGAATTATTTTATGAAATTATATATCTTAATAAAACTATTAGTATTATAATTAACAGATATTAATAAAATCTTAATTAATTTTTAAACTCTTAAAAAGAATAATAATAATTCACTATATTAAAAGATCTCTGATTTTAATTTAATTTTATTATATTATAAGTATTTTAAATATAAAGCATCAGTCTGCTAGCTATAGAAGAGAAATTAATTTTTTAAAAAATAAAAAGATTTTGTTTTAAGAATAAGCTAATAAAATTTAAAAAAAATATATCTAATAATACTTAATTAAACAGGCCTGTACATAATAAAGGTTGGAGAAAATAAAAATATTTAATAAAAAATATTAAATAGTTTTTATACAGACGCAACTAGGCAGTGGACATGTAATAGAATAGATTATTAATAAGATCTAAATCTAGATAACTAGAAGAGACTATTTATATACCAGGCCACAATTAGAGTGGCTAATGATTAAAATACAGGTTAAAAACCAATCTCTCAAAAAGTATATTTAGATCTAAATAAATTATAAAATATAAGTTTTAGAATTAAATTTAAAGAATTATTCTATATTTATTTATAAATTATATTTTAAATCTTAATTAATATAGCTAGACTATATTTAATATATAATTAATAGAGTGGCTAACAGCCAGATCAGGTAAGGTTAATTAGAATTTTTATATCTAATCATCAGATTATAATCAGATTAAGAAAATTTTTATATTTAATTATAATATAACTAAAAACTAGATAATTAATTATTTTAATTATTTTTAATATTAAGATTTATCTACTATATCTTTTTAAGCTTTAATATAATTAAAATATATTTAGATTAAATAATTATTAATCTAGCTATTTTTATTATTATCTAAAAATATATAAAAAAAAGCTTTTTAAATTAAAAAAATATAATTAAAAAAAATTAATATTTTTTTATTATTATTTATTAAAAATAATAAGAAAATTCTAGTTATATTAATAAAATTTAGCTTTTTATAAAATTATTATTTTTATAATAAAAAATATATATAAAAATATATAATTATTACTTTATTTTAGTTATATATCTTAATTATATTATATAAAATATTAGAAAAATTATATATTAATTATTAATTAAAATATTAAGAATAAATATATTATTTTTATTTTATTATTTCTTCTAAGTCAGACTATTTTTAGATTTATAAATAAAATATAGCTTAAAAAGCTATTAATAAAATTAAAAATAAATAAATAATTAAGAAAATTATAAATAATTAAATTATTAGAATAAAGTAGATTAAATAAATTAGATAAATTAAATAAATTAAATATATTAAATAGATAAAATAAATAAATAAAATAAATAAGATATATTAAATCTATATTATAATATTACAGCTCTTATAGAATATTTTATAAAAAGCTTTTATAAATTCTTTTTATAAATATCTATTTTTTATCTTAATTTATTATATCTTAAGTAGTTTTATTTAGAAAAAGGGATTATTTTATAATTCTAGACTTTAGATATAAATTTTTATTTATTAAATTTATTAAAATAAATAAAATATAATAAATATCTTAGCTATATATTAAAATATAATAAATTATATTTATAAAGTTTTTTATTTTTATTTTTTATATATATTATTTATAGAATAGCTTTAGAATTATAAATTAATTATAATTATTTAATTCATTTTTAAAAAATATTATTAAATCTTTTTCTTTTATTTCTTAGATCTTTATAAATTATAATAATATTTAAACTAAAATAAGCTTTTTAAGTTAGATCTTTTCTTCTTCTCTAAATCTTTAGATTATATATATTATAAAGAATTAAAAGATTATTTTATATTTAATTTTTTAAAAAGAGTTTTTTATTTTTTAGAATTAATAATAGAAAATAATCTTTTCTAAAAATTATATAAAAATTAAAAAATTATTATTTTATTTTAATTAGAAAAAGTTATTAATAATATAAAACAGTTTTTAAAAAAATATATTATTTTTTAATAAAATCTTTTATATTTATTATATTATATATTTTTATATCTTATAATATTTAAAAATTAAAAACTTAGAAACAAGTTCTATAAGTTATTATTTTTATAAAAATTATAAAAAGAAATTATTATTAATTATATCTAAGTAAATAATTAATTAGATATTAAATAAAAAAATTATTATAAATATTTATTTATTTTTTTAAAATAAATCTTTTTAATTATTATTTTTTTCTAAATCTCTATAATTTATAATAAATAGGATTTTTAAAATTAAATTTTATATTTTATAATTATCTATTATTTATTATTCTAAATTATTAAATATATTTAATTTAAATAAATAATTAATTTTATTATTTTATTTTTTTATTAAAAGTTAAGTTCTTCTAATTAAACATAAATTAAAAAATATTTTATAAAATTATTTAAAAAGATTTATATACAGCTGTTATTAAAATTTCTAAATATTAAATAAATATTAATTATAATAAACTATTAAATTAGCTTTAATCAGAAAATATTTTTTAATTTAATTAAATATTTTTTAATAAAAGATATAGATTATTATAAGATTTTTTTAGACTTTTAATTAATATTTAGATTTTATATTAATAAAAATCTAGTTATAATTATTCTATTAGTCTTATATAAATATAATCTTATTTATTAATTATTAGATATAATAATTAATAATATTATTAATAATAATATAATATTTAGTATAATCTTAACTAAACTCTAAATTTAATTTAGCTAGAGTATTTAATTTTATAATATTTTAATTAATTCTGATTTTTTAAAAATTATTTAAAGTTAGTATTATATTTTTTATTTTATTTATATAATTTAATTTATAATTAATATTTTTTATAGAAACTTTAAATTAAGATCTTAAATAATATTATTAAATATATATAAAAAAATAATAATAAAAGTCTTAAAATCTTTTTTAATATTTTAAGAATTCTTAAAAAAATATATTTTAGAAATTATCTATAAAAAATTTTTAGAAATTTTTTATTAGCTAGTTTATTATATTAATTTTTTAATTATAAATTAGAAAATTATATAAATTTATAAATATTAAGTTTTTAATA